ATTCGTTGTTTGCCATTGCAACAATTCTTGACTGTCAGCATATTTCGGCGCCTTTGCTGGCGCTCAGTTCTAATGTACTTTGTACTTCAGCTTTTTCTCGATTCATCATGTCGATGACTTGACATCATATTCATAATCGTCTCTCATGTTGTGTTTACTCCAGAAAAGAAATGCCACGGTTTGAAAATCTGGCTGCTGTGGCTCATCCATTAATTGCCGTTGTGAATTGTTTACCAGCTTGCCGCCTTGCATGCACTCGCTTACACAACAGGTCCTCAGACGGGCCGAAAGGGTGCCATCGAACATCAAACAATGGCATGCCCATTGCCCATTCCACATGTAGTATCTGCCAATAGTCGTTGAAGAATTAAGCTGGCTAATCAATGGTAATGGTTTTGACTACAGTAACTTCACGGGAAATTAACTCAGAGACAGTTGCTGTTGCTGGCTTTGCGTCCTTTCAGACTGATCTGTCTAACTGCGCGAAGAAACGTGCCTGTGGCGTCCTCACTCCGGTCAGTCTAAAGTGATGTCAGCCATAGATGACGTTTGGTCATTGAGGCGACGGAATGGATTGTCCGTTTAAACTCTGCTTGCCGAGACCCCCGTATTCATGTACAAATTCATCATAGTCTGTAATTTATACAATATGCTGGAATGTCGAAGTAGAATAAGTGCTTTCGCCGACCTCCTTAGTTCAAAACTTCAGTGACGGAATACCGAAACTTATATCAAACTGGCTGGCCGTTTCAACGGTTGCGATTCATCGTTCCTTTTCCACTCAGGTGTCTTGTATATCATAGCTTTCCTACAAAATTGAATGCGCATCCGGACTACATGTCTGTCAACTACGCAAAGGTCTTCCTCTTAGGGCCACGTGCGGCTCTCGCATTCATTCGATCATTTCGTCATACAGCCGCTGCCACGGATTCTGACCATTGCGCATATTCAAAAGCGTCTTAGTGACCACAGATTCATGACGCGCACGCATACTGTCATGGTTGAAACAGCCGAAGTCTCCGCTTCGAATTTAATGTGACCACTAACTAACGTGCTCTCCGCAGCGATGACATGTGACTATGTCGAATTCGTCTTGATAGTTGCTACCCTCTAGAAAAGTCACCGTCTCCTCATACCATTGCTCCTCTCTAGTTCCTAAACGTCTCTGGCGTAAGAAGGAACAGTTTTCGAAAAGAGGAGAGTGAAAGCGAGTGCAAAACATTGCAAATGGAAATCATTGTAGAGGTCAAACAACTGAATCCTTGACAAATGAGTGCATTTGCCAGAAACTGTTTCTTTTGGCAACTGTGAGATGAAATTAAATCCGCTTGTGGATTCCTTAATCCGCTAAGCGCAACATCACCCTACTTAATTTTCCTCCATATGAGCTCAGACGATTCTTCCTTTAGCACGAGAATGATACGCGAATTGCACAAATCAAACCGTCACTTAATTCCTCTGAGAATCCAACTTCATTCACCTTATGTTTCACTTTGCTTTCGAAGACTAGTTCATCAGCAACAGCCGATAATGGTGATGTGTCACCGTTAGCTTAAAATATTGTTTGGTTGAGCTAAGCAACGTGTTCATCTTTAACGTTTTACGTGCATAGCTTACGTCGACAGTGACTCCAGTACCGCAGAGGAACAACCCAGCTGCAGCAGGAGACTGTCAACCGATTACGATTAATTTCGCAACTTTGAAACGGCTCAAACGTTTCCTTCTACCATTCATTTGTGTTCTGTTCTACCATCTTGCGATCTCCGGCAGTTTCGTTTCGGAACCGGACGAAGTACGATCGACGTGCTTAAATATTTTGTGCCAGTGGCGTAGCTGCAGAATTTGACTGAGACGAAAGAATGATAAAGACCACTTTCCTTGACTTTTCATCGGCGTTTGACACGGCTCCGAGGATTAGATACTCTCTGTTCTTCTGGATGTCGGCATTAGCCATTAACCGCAATGTTGTACGAATTGTTGCGACTTAACTCTCTGAAAAAGAGGCAACCGCGAATTGCACCTTAGCGGCGCCAATTCACAATAGCTACCTAAGAGTTTCAGCCAACCCCGGGGTTCGTTTTTCTCGCAGCTACTTTTCACCATGGACACCAACAACTTTAGACTTGAACTGTCTCGACTATGCTTGAATTATGCCCACTACTCTACCGTCGGTGCAGTTACCATAAAACGCGAAGACCTCGACCTCGAAGAACGTAGGAGTGCCATGAAGAGATTATTAGATGGATCCAACCCTCGCGGATTCGTTCTTTGTCTAGGCAAGCGTCTGGGGTGTGTCTCTTTTTCTTAGACACTCGAAACCACGATCCCGTCAGAGAAGAAACCGATCACTCGAGTTAAAAATGATAAGTTTCTTGGTGTGGCCTGATCACCCGATTCACGTGTTTTTCACGTCATCAACAACGCGAGGAAAGCTAATTTCTTCCTTAGTTGTTTACCCTTAGTTGAAACTTCTGATTTGCGCTGGCAATTTAAAAGGTATTGTACGTACTAGTTATTACTTATTTCTCGCTACTCAAATTTGGAGCCTTAACAGGAGGTAAATTTACGCTCCTGCGGCAATGTATTAGAACAGTTGCGAGATCTGAAGGATTGCAATGCGATATTATGGCGAAGACCATTTTGCAAACTGTTTAT